CCCAAACATTCTGTACATAAACCATTTTGCATTGCCTTTACAATGTGAAAAAGCACAATAAATCATTGTCTTATTCACCACAGTGCTCTGACTTGCTCAAGAGAAGAACAAGAGCTCAGAGAGCCTGACTTGAACCAAAAGTTAGTTACGCAATACTGAAAAGGGATCCAGCTGAAGAACGTGCCTACACTACTGTGCACATAAGTACCAAAGCATTGCTCTGGGCAGTTGGCCAACACTTCCCTCAAAACAGAGCCTTGGGTGTTTAGAGAGAGAGAAAATGGAATTTTTTTTTTTTTTCCAAGCTACAAAATCATCATGCATTTGTATTCTGTGAAACTTCAACTCACATAGCTTAGCCATTTCTGAAAATGAGGTAAAAATGTATTGTTCTATCTGGCTTAAAAAAATCTCAATGCAGTTTTGTTGACAGTACTAAGCCATCCAGTTACACACAGCATAGTAGAGAACTTCACTCCTAATCTTCTTCTGAAGGTGTCCTGTTCTGGCTGACTTGGATGTCATAGGAATAGCTAAACAATATGCACAGTTGGACCTTCCAGCTTTTGCTTTGGGGTGCCTGTTGCTGATTCCTCAGTCTGAGAAGAGAGCGCAGCAAATTGAGGTAAATAATAAGTTTTCTGTTCTATTTGTGCAAGGGAAACGTCTTTAAGCATGTTATATTCACCAGAAACTGTGAAAGATAGTAATCTATAATTCCATCTTATTTAAATATGTCAGCTGCTTGGCGTTTCCCAACCACAAAGGCTATTACTCTGAATTTCTCCTTCTGAAAAGGATCATGTGAACACTTCCTCTGATTTTTTTTTTTTTTTTTTTTAAAGCAAAACCAGCTAGCTTCAAGTCATCCTCAGCAATATTGTCAAATTACTTTGCCTTTTGTGGTTTTGAGGATATTTTATGGGATCCCACCCATAAAACCCATGAAAAAAACGTACAAAATCTAAACCAGTGCAGTGTGAAGATAATGATAATTGCTGAGGAGCTACCAGTGGGCTAGTTTCAGATTGTCAGTACTGGAGCTTTCTTCAGAAAAATGTTGAGTAAAAGCTCCCAACTTGTTAGAAAGATGCTTGATAGGCATTGTAAGTTCTGATGTAAACCTTTTGCCATATCCTCACTATTCAATGTATCTCGAGTTTCCTTCTTCTCATTTGTTCCCATTAATTTATGCTCTGCATTTTTCTCCCAGGTAAAGATTATAGGCTGTGCCCATATTTGTCATGAGTAAACTGGCACTAGTAAAGGCATCTTAAATTCTTAGACTTCCAGTTATTTAAATTAAGATCAGAAAGATTTCCCCAAATTACAGCATTAGTCTAAGACATTTAGTCTGCTGACAATGAGTCAAAAAAGTCTGTAACAGCTACAGCAAAATACCCTTTGAGAGTTAAAAGCAACAAATACTACTCTTTCAGTCAAACTGCACAGATTCTGGTTTGTACTTAGAATTTCAAAATATTAATTGTTCCTGAATAAATCAAATACTTGCTCTGAAGGGAGAATTTCTACTTTAATAATTCACAGAATATTAATGTTTTGTAACTTATTTTTGCTTTAAACTTATTAAGGGTTTCTTATCGACATGTAACATAGAAACTGTGCTGCAACAAATAGATGAACACATGAACACTGGAGAAGTAGTGGCATTTGCTTCTCAGGTAAATAAATAAGTTTTACTTCACTTGCCTTTGGCTTTTTTGATACATAAGTGTACATAGAAGCTTTTTTTCTCTCTCCTGATCTTGCCAAGCATTAGCTGATGTAACACACCCTTCTAAAATATAGCAACATTTGCAGGGATTTTTACATTTTTATTAAATGCTATTCAGCTAAAAAACTTCTTGTGTATATATATACACACAGTGCTGTGTTATAGGCTGCCCCTAATTGTAGGACAGGATTGTTTGCAGCAGTACCTACTTTATTTTTCTAAATAAATATTTTAGGCAAAAAGGCTAAAGGACATATGAAACTGCACTGTCTGTCACCTTGCCTTGGGCTGCCTTCCCAAGAGCAAGTTTCTTAACTCATTGCCTCATCTGAATCTGAGATTAGTCGTCATAAAATCTGCCATTTCACAGCATTTAAAAAAAAAAAATAAAAGTCCTGCAGTATGGGAGTTTGGGCTCTTTTCATGCAAAAGGAAAATTTTACATTTAAAATAATACTTTTCCATTATTAAATCTTCAATCTACAGATTAGATCTTTGGTTTTGGACAGTATCATAAATGAGAAGCTATATGAAAAATTCTTGAAAACTAAATATTTTCCACTGTTGAAGCAACAACTGATGAATACTCACCGAATTAAAGAACTGGTGGATTACTTTGCCAAAAAGAACTAGTAAGTTAATAAAACAGGGATGCATGACTGATAGCAGTTGCAGAAATTGAATCTCCTTTATTTTCATTTATTTGAAGTCAGGGAAATTTTCTAGTACTTAAGTCTCCAAGAATTTTTAGAGTATTGCTAAGTTAAATAAATAAATCGACTAAAAACCTCACTGCTGTGCATACTTAGGAGAGAGTTTTACAGTGTCATTTAAGCCAAAGTAACAGCTTACTGAGCCTGGACTTACCAGCACATAAAATGCAGTTAAAATAGCAGAAAAAAATGCTTTTGATTTGAATCAATTTACCTTACCTTCAGATGAATTCAGTGTAGTAGCATCCTGAAGTCACTGCCTCAGCAATAAGAACACTGAAAAAATAAATGAACTGCCTGTACTCAAGACTTGGGAATTAGTGGGTTTGCTGCCAAGTTTTTCAGGAGTTTAGACATACCTCTTATGTTCCACTTAAATAAAACAAAGGATCTTGCCACTGACCCTGCTGTGGGGCAGTTCTCAATCAGGGCTCTGTCAGTGACTCACAGCACTTGGGCTCGTTGTGCACAGCTGCAAACTCTCATTTCAGACCCCAAATAATCAGTTGTGCAAGTCACTTGGTTACCACTTCTGCAGTCAAAATGGGATGGGAAACAATAAACAGCTGTTTAAATTCTAGGATATGTTGGGTTTATTAACAGCCACAGGTTCAATGCCAGGCTTGTCATGGCTTGTTTTCCTCTGAGAAATGACAGGACCTATCTGACTTCAAACACATGGGGCCATACCTTATTTTTATACTTCAGTGTATTTAGTCTAAATTCTTGGCTTTTTAAAGAACTTCTTATCGACAAAGTTGATAAACTTTTGCCTCCTGCAGCATCGATGATGCAACAGCTCTAATCCGAGAATATCAAGAGAAATGTGGAAATCCTGCTCTGGCAGACATACCATCATCTGATCTTCTGAAGGTAAAAGAAAACATTTTTGTAACTCAAAGTATTATTTTTTTTTCTAAACTAAGACTTTCACTCAACTTTTAGCAAAAATACTTCTTAGCCTATTTATTGTATATAATAAAAGATCCCTTTATTCAAATAATTCATTTTACTTGAACCAAATGTGTGCCATGCTAAGCCTTATGCTTTCAAGTACTTTCCCAGGTCTTAATTTTCTGAAGCTATTATTATTCTCTCACCTTCCAGATGTATCTGAACAGACCAGAAGAGACCAGTGTACTGGAACCATCATCGAAAAAGTCTTGATTTACCTTTTCTCCCTCTACTGGCAAGAAGGGGGCCATGCATTGAGAATGCTTGTACTGGTCAAGTGAACACTGAACTAAAACCTCAATTCTTGTAACCAAAAGCTACTCTGAGCTTTCCACCTTAACTGTTCTAGGCTGTTTCTTCTCCATACTCTATCCCCATTGAAACAGTTTAGATTTACAGAACTTCATGGTTTTGTTCAACAGCAATGTTCATGTTCAGCACTTGTTTTAGGAAGGATTAGTTTATTTTCTTCTATATTTCTCCATGTTCAAGTCTGAGGATCACTTCAAGATTTAATTCACACAAACATAACCTCACATAATTGCGATAAACATTTTAAAAAAACCCTAAATGATGTACTTCATGTAAAATACTTTGTAGACAAATTGTAATTTTAACTACAGTGAGTATAAATAAACAGACTTACATAGCAATTTTGGCCTTATTCTATAAACCTTTTTTTAATTATGAAGTTGTCAGTAAATTGATATTTCACTCAGTCACTAACATTCCTTGAACGTGTGCTAAGGTTTCCTTTTCAACTTTGTTCTTTCTGTATGTCTGCAGGCAGGATAAAGCAAGAGGCATGTGCTTCACTGCATGAAATAGCAGTGAGCCGGAGGTTCCCAAGATACCAAGCTGAAATGCTTGGCCTTTTTCTAAGGTAAAGCAGGTTTATTTTGAATAGAAGTTGTTATTATTTAGCCAGCTTATGACACAGAAGAAAGGGTTTTAACTCCTCCTTTAAGGTCTATGAAACTTAACCTCAAACCTTCATGACAAATACCACACAGCTTTTCGCACAGATATTCAAAATGTTCTTCTGTAGAAGACAAAAGATAAAACTCTGGTTTTGTTGGAAAGTTAACAGTTATGAAAAATGGGAGCTGTTAAAATACATTCAGTTCCCTGCAGTCACAAGAGGAGAGCCAGAATGTCCAGTCTTCCTGACCAGCTAGTGTTTTAATCTTCAGTAGCAGTATCAGCATTGTATGGAATTACATTACTTAAAACCTCCCTACATGGAGGAAAGTGCATATTCATGTAGTGTCAGATAGAAGCCATAAATAAAGAAAAGCCTCTCTTCACTGTTTAAAGATTTAATGAGACCATCATCCATTCAAGCATTAGGGTAGTTGAAACTGTTTGGATTATAAGATTTTATACAGTGAAATTGCTACTCTAAGTTATGAGTTAATTGCAATTTTTATTCATTTACCTTAATGGGGAATGTTTTAGTTAATTAACTATCAACTGGATTCTGAACCAAATGTAACATAGCCCCACAGCACTGAGTCTTTTTGTTCAAGCCCTTTACAAGTATCCTTTAGAGCATCAGGCATCTTAAAAGCAGCTCCAACTACTGCATTTTTTTTCCCCCCAACAACATAAAGCTTAGTTTTTCTATGAAGTGAAGTTTATTACAACATTAAGGAACAGTATTTAAACAGTTACTTTAATGGAATATTTTACAAATCAATTCATACAGAAAAAAGCAAACACAATGTTTTAAAGTTATTACCAATAAGCTACATTGCTAAGCTGTTAGCGAGTAAGTGTAGTACTGTAAACTAGCAATCAAGTATTGTAGTAACTTGCAGTTCAGAACGAGATGGTAAAAATACCAGACAAGCAAAAACATTCTTAAGATTTTTTGTACTCAATTCTTTCTACTTTCACATCATCTCCAATTAGTTGATAGACATATGTAACTACTGTAGAAGCCTGGATATCCATCAGCACAAAGGAAGGAATGATGTTGCTGGAAAGAGAGGGAAAAAAATCATATTGTGTATTAACAACCACTACCTGACAGAAATCACCCAGAGAAAAACAGGTATGAATTCTGTAAGCGCAGTACATCAGATCTGAAGCTTTGAGTATTTCAATGTCATCTGTTTCAGTCAAGATTTAGCAAGTACTACCAACCCTTCCTCTCCCCAATATTTAGAATGTAAACATTAACCTTCATAAAGAGCACTGAAGTTCAGTTTTGTTAGAAAGAAGATCCCCACAGATACTTCCCATACTTCACTTACTTCTCTAAGGCGTGATAGGCTCCTGTAGCTGATCCCGGATTGATATAGAACTTGTTTTCATGTTCGAATGCCTCGAATTTGTGTGTATGTCCTGAAATTAGGATGTCCACATCAAACTGCCGTTGTAGCAGTGCCAGGCTGGCCATATCACCCCAAGGAATAACCTGATGGCCATGAATCAGCCCAATTTTGAACTGTCCAACAGTTACAACTTTCTGTTCAGGATAATTCAGGTTCTAAAAATAAAAACCAGATGTACAAATTTATATTTAAAAACAACTCTAAGCAACACCAAGAAGAGGTGGGGGGAGAAGCAACACCAAGAAGAGATGGGGAAAGCTAATAGAAATATTCAATATAATTGGCCCTACTGCTACCAAATGAGAGCTACAAAGCTGCTTTTTATGAGCACGGTGGAGAATGGGGAAGGATGAAGGAATTTCAAAGATCTGACAACAGCAGGTCCCAGTTGCTGAAGTCCTTAGACATGGCCAAGTACACAACTACTTTTATTCATACTGATGACAAATGAGAACTTACTGTGCAATTCACATTACTAATTGCCACCCCAAGTCTTTTGCCCAGTTTGCTTTTTGTGTGCTCTTAGTACTACATAACCCCGGTTTACCCACTTTTACTTGAATTACAAATAAGCCAAATGTTGCCTTCATGTAAAAGATTCAGAAAAATATGTAATTATCAAGAGAGGACACTACCTCATCGAAGTCCCCTCTGACAACATGAACATCCCCAGCCAGAGTCTTGAGGTAGTCATAGGTGTCCTTGGTGCAGAGGTTTCCTGTGCAGAGGATGTGTTGGATCTTTCCTGGAACCAGCAGCTTTTTGAATTTGGCGGGGAGGCTGTTGCATCGATGCGGAATGTGAAGATCTCCTAATACTAACACCAACTTATCAGGTGTCATGACAAGAAAGAAATATTGTTACAGATACTTATTTAGGCAAGAATCCTTAGGAAGCAGAAAGCATTGCAATGTTTTCTTCAGTTTCCTAACTTTGCATTTGGATGTAATACCCACTAAAATAATGAAACAGTGACGGAATATTGCTACAAGGTATTGTTTTCCCTCAGTAATGCAGAACATTATGCAGAAGGGGGCTTTACAAACACAGTAGTCTACAGAATTATTTTGTTGATGAAAGCCAGTGCAAGGTCTAACAACAGACACGTGTTACTACTTGATGTATTTTACACAAATTTGGGAACTACCACAAACTATCCCACTTTTTTGGATGCTTAAGCAGCTAAAAAAATAATATAGGACACCTCTAGTACACATTCAAGCACAGACCTAGCTAAACTGTGGCCACTTCCCTTTAAAACTCTTAATCCAAATTTAACTTCTGTTTTCTTATCAAAAAAAAGCAAATTTGCAACATGTGTTAATAGCTGACCAGAACGGGAAGCTTGTTCAGAGTCTGTATTAGGACCCACTGAACAAGAGAGTAAGACTAATAGTTTAAAAAACAAAACCAAACCAAAGCCCAGGGCACTGCAGAGAAGATAAACCAGACTACTGCACACAGCGATTCTACTACCAGTTCTATATAGTCATAGTTTAAGTACGATAGATGCAAGGAGAGTGCAAATTTAATGGGGGCTTCAAAATTAAGGATTCAGATGAAGTAAGACCATAGCTTAGTATCGCAGGCTTTAAACCTGCAAATAAAGAAATTAATGCGACACAGCAATAAATTAATTATGCAAAAAAGGGCAGGAAAAGCTCTATGAAGCATGGGATGTTATGCCACCACACTGCAAAAACACTGGATCTAGAGACAGTCAACTTGATAAATAGCTCCATGTTAAAAAGAAAAAGGTGATCTTCTAACCACAATGCTCTGTTAGTTACACAGTTCCTAAAATGACAGCCATCAAATGCGTCTGGAAAAGACACAGCCCCAACAGATGAATGTAAAAGCAGCAGTAACTGTGCTAAGAAATCACCTTTAAGATTCGCTTTTTAAATTTTTAGGCCATGCAACCATCTTCACACTAGCAATCATCAAAACAGGCAGAGGGAACTTGGGCGGGGTTTTTGTTTGGTTTGGGTTTTTTTTAGATTAAGAATGTCTCAGTGCCATCATCAAAGCCATGCACCTTTAGAGAACAGATGGTTGAAAGTATTGGTAAAGCAATACAAGAGTTTTGTAATCAGGGAGCTACCAATTTAAAACTAACCCAGGAGAGGGAAAAAAAAAAAAGACACATAATTGATGGTCTTTCAAGAGCTCCCAGTGAAAAATACCCTTACTAGCATCAGCCTAGAGACAATATACTGGAATGCAGGTGAAAAATGGGTAACAAGTGATTCTGATTATTAAAGTGGCAATAGATTTTTCTTGCTGATGCTTAAGGTACTTAGACATGCAATACTAGTTATGTATTGAACATTCAATAAATTTATACTGCCACTAAAACATAACCCTGCCGAAGTCAGCAGAGTGTGTGCATTCAACAAAACCCATTTGCTTTACTGACAAACTGGCAGGCCTCATATCTTCCCCCAAATCACGTTTGAGCTCCCATTAATTAAAGCAAAGCTTGGCAAGCTACAATAACAAAAACAAATTAAAAGCATTGAAGTGTGTTTAATAATCACAGGTATCTGCAACATAAAATAGTGGCAAAGAATGTTACATCTGGCTTTTGCTAGCAATTTTAGGTGCAATCTTGAGCGTGAAGAGCAGCCTCTAATTCATATGTACCATCTGATATTCGTATCATCTAGTAACATTAACAAGCCCTTACCACCGGTGTTAGCAACAGCTAAGAGGAGTAAACTTACTCTGTGCCCAGCCTTATTGGAATGAAGAAGTTGATTGCAGACAGGGGGGAATGAAAAACAGGGTGAAACATGATCAATGTTAAACAAAAGAAAGCAACAGAAAAGAAAATATAGCCAAATGAACAGGCAAATAACAATTAAATGAATTGTTGATGTTATGAAAGAAGCGTTAAAAAAAAATAAATTAACAAAAAAATCGGCTCCTGCGCGCAGCCCCCGGCAGCTCCCGCCGGTGACAGCCCCTCAGCACGGCCTCCTTACCCCCGGCGGGCCCTCGGCGGGGCTTCACCTCCGCTCAGCGCTCCCCTCCCGCCCCCCATGTACCTCAGCTCGGCACTACGCGGATTTCTGGGCAGCGGCTGACAGAAAACGCTCCCTGAGCGCACGTCCAGCACGGCCGCCAGCGGGGCCCGCCCGCCCGCCGCAC